TTTATATATCATAAGCCATACCAGGTTTCGCGGCGCTGCGCTCCGCAATTTTCTTTATGCTCGCAACAGTGGCGGCGCCACGAATTTTCGCCAGTGGGGGCAAGCTTCAGGTGACCCGATTGTTGTCTGATAACCCGATCTGCAAAATCCATGAGCTCCTTGCCCCTAGATGTTGCCAATTAGAAATTATCATGGTTTCAGGTTTCATGCATACGTATTGAGCTTAAGCATTAACCCTCCCGGGTCCGGAACGGGGGGGGGGGGGCGTTTTTCGCCTCCCCTGGCGAATATTTGCGATACCACATGAACGCTTAGGAGTAGAAATACGAAACTTGCTGTACCTTATCCCCCATTAACCCGCGCCCTGCTGGGGGGGGGGGGGGGTGTTTGAACACCCCCTTGTGGTTTTTCGCGAATATCTCAAAAACGGCGGCGATACCTCAATTCTACACATGTTGTGAAAATTTCAGACCAAGGTCATTCAAGGTCAGGTCACCAGGTCACTTGAAGTGACCTCACCTCATAAAAAGTTTCAATGTCTGTCATAGCTACACCGAGTGACCGATCGCTTTGAAACTTTCAGCGATTGCTAAGAGCAATAGAATGTACAAAATGTATATCTCAGAATTTTGATATCGATGACCTAAGGTCAGGTCAATTTTGCGACCTCCCCATTATAAGTCAATGGGAGAAAATTGAAATGCGCCTCTTTTGGATGAAAGACATTATAAACACTCCCAAACACCGAATTACAAGTGGTTTAGACACACTGAACATGAAAATGGTGTCCGTGACCCTTGTTTATGCCCTGAGGTCATCTAAGGTCACGAATGGTATCTAACAGTTTTTCGCAAATAACTTTTGATAGAGGCATGCTAGAGCGATGAAAACGCCTTAGATGTGTTCAGCTCGACGATACGGATCGACTGATATGCAACATGACCCTTTCCGGTCAGGTCATGACCTTGACCTGAGGTCAAATTTTCAAGTTGACCTTTCAAGGTCAAGTTATAGTTCATTCGATGCGTCTTGACGAGAGGAACACGATGCCGGTAAAAGTAAGCTCGTACAGGGCTTGGGTCAAAAGTTATTGCAGAAAAACTGTTTCCAAGAAAATCGGCTATTTTTGCAGTTTTTGCCCCCTGCAGGCAAAACCGTTGACGTTAGGTCAAATCTGAGAGAATTATTCAGAAAGGGCGTTAATAGGGCTATGGAATGCGCTTTTCCGCGGCGCTGTAGCTCTATTGGTTCCCGAGTTATGCGTTGGCTTCTTGGAAATTTTCGCCATTCGACCTGGAAATCGGCGAAATTTTGCCTTCAATGACCTCTGGTGACCTGACCTTTGACCTGACCAAAAAATTGACTGAAGTGATTTCGTCATTATTTTTGACGCTCTTTCGAACGCCGCCTTCCGCGTATCGCTACGTGGCCCAGGAGCCGAGTTACAAGGGGGGGTGTTCAAACACCCCCCAGCAGGGCGTGGAAATCCAGGACCCCCAGCCGGGCGCGGGTTAATTTGAAATCTTTTGAAGCAAAACAAATTGGACCTAGCCTTCTTGATAACGTCTCAAGGCCGATTTTTTCTAGACTCCTGCACGGCAAACTTCGGCGTCACAGACGTGAACTTCAACCAGCTGCCAAAATAGAGTTTTAGAGATAAAGACAAATAACGAGCACCGTTGTGTAGCATTTGACCTAAAAAAAATACATAAGTAACTTTGGTGACCTGAGGTCAGAGGTCAGGTCAACGACCCCGAGCTAAGGCTTTAGTTTTTTTTTTCGCAAGTAACGTCAACAAAAACAGTCCTAGAGCTGCGGCAGCGGTAGGTACCTTCGCATTCGTCTCGTCGAGACGCGTCGAATGACATATATATTGTTTGGAAAAGGTCAAGTTTTATGTTGACCTCATGTGACCTCGAATGACGTATGGTTGACTTTGACACATGAAAGGTTGCTAGTGATGATTTCGTAGCCGCGGATCACGATTCTGGCATCCATAAGCATTAATTTAGAGCCTCAGGATGGCAAAACATGTCTTAATTATTATGCCTGACTTAAATAAGTGAAATAGCCTCTAGCAAGGATACTCTCTTGTGACTTTGACCTTGTAGCAGCCTTGTATCGTAAGCTAAAGCACAAATAGGGGCCCGCTAAGCTTCAAAACATTTCAAAACATCTCTGAATTTAGTATACAAGGTATAAGAAAAAGTGCAAAGTTTGTGGTCAATTTTGATCACGACCGTGACCTTGAATTTGAATGTTATGCACTGCACGTCATCGGAATCCCCAGACTCTCTTCTTTTGTTTAACATCCATTTTAGCCGGTTTTATGCACCATGTCGTCCTCTGGAACACGTACTTTGAGACCACTACAAAAGTGCCGGTTTTTGCCTTGGACCTTGGCTTTTGACCTTGAAAATTGACCTGAGGTCAAAAACTTAGGGTGTTATAAAATCTTATCGTAGATACCTTTCGTTTGGTACCATTTTTGTTTCCGTAGCTGCCTTATTTCCTTATTTAAGTACGGAGTTAGACAGGTGTGGGGGGTACCCCGGGCTGCGGTGGTTGGGAATACCCCGGGCCCGGGCAGGTTAAGGTCGCAAGCAAATAAAACTATAAAACTAAATTGCGAGACAGAAACCTGTGAAAACGTTATGTTGAGATGTAAAATGGTGTATTCCTCAAAACAGTTATCAGTACCTAGTTCTCTTTTTTACCGTAGTGCGAATATATGCGATTCTCTCACACACGATTGATACCAGAATAAGCTCTATTAGGGCGATCCACATACATTTCCAGATAACCCAGATATACATACCTATTACCTACCTATCACATTTTGTCATACCTCCCTGAGCTCAGTCTCAGTCTGAGGGTTCCCAAAAGAGGGTGAACTCTTCTCTGGCCGATTTTGACAAGCTGCCTCTCAACCTCCTCGAGGTCAAGCTCGATGGCAGCCTTCTGGTGAATGAAAATGAGTAGGAGAATGAGTGGGGTAGGAGATATGCGACAGATGCAGAGGTCGAAAAAACTGTTAGACTTTCTCCAACCGACCTTAAAATTTGCTTCACAAGAAAAATGATTTGTTGCACAGCCTAAAGCACGGGTCAAGAACTTGAATCCCTCTCGCGTTTCTATGCACACTGAGCACCAATACAGTTAGCGTCAGACAGCTTCAATGCGCTAAAGCAAAGGCGTGCAAGAGTTTATGCCGTGCCCGTGCTTCTAAGTTCTTACTGTTCGGCGCGTAGATGTCGCTGGATATCGCGGCCGGACCGCAGCGACATCTATTCCACGGACTGCACGCTCTAAAAAACTGCCACCTTCTACAACTGCTGTAAGGGCGAAATTCCGTTCGTGATAACGGGAAAAGCAGCCTTTTTGACACCGACTTGCTTCAGGAAGATGGAAGCAACTGGGAGCAAGTCCGCCAGGCCGTGGGTAGGTTAGAAGGTACCCACAGTGGATCATTGGCTGAAGCTTGAAATTGCACATGGATGCAAGGAATGGCCATGCAGGTAAAATATTGATCATTGGTGATCGATTATTTTCCGTTTGCATTGATATTCAGTCAATTATTTGCTCCAACACCGGTTGGAGGGATGGGCAGTTTTTCGACCTCTGGACAGATGGTCTGAGAACGAACGTTCTGCTGATGCACTTGATACGGGGATCGTCAAAAACAGGCGTACTATTAGGTATAACCGCCTATCATGAATGTTGCACCGGTCTTCTGTTCCCATTTCAACATCAGCCAAATTTTGTGGGGGCAAAAACATAGTCTTGCCCCCACGGCCTCCTGCCAGTGGGGGCAGTCTGCCCCCACTGCCCCCACGGTGGCGCCGCCCTTGGCTCGCAAAAAAACTAGCAGAGAGATGTGGCCAAAAACGCCCCTGCCCCACCCGGATGAAAGTTAACGCCCTCTTCAGAAAGTGGTGTGTGGCGAAATACCTCAGCAGCTGCCGGTTTATAAATGTGTTGATATTCAACTTAGCTACGTTAATAGCCGGTATTTTTGGACTAATAAAAAACATTTAGAACAAACTAAAGTTTTTTCAAGCTTCTGAAACTAGCAGTTGGCACCACTATTTTACATACCCAGCTTTCGGATCATTTTTGGAGAAAACAACGCACGGGACAGATTTCGTACTAAAAGGAGTCAGGGTTTTGGACATTGGACGGACATTGAACACACAACCCTTTTCTGAGACTAGCTCAAAAGTCAAATAGTAGTCGGCACGACCGTACGGTGAGGGAAGCGCGAAAAACGCACCCTTTCGGTTTCAGGAGCCAGGGTTTTGGACATTGGACGCCGGACGGACATTGAACAGACAACCTTTTCTGAGACTAGCTCAAAAGTCAATAGTCGGTACGGGCCCAAAAACCGAGGTGAGGGAAGCGCGAAAAACGCACCCTTTCGGTCCCCCCCCCCCCCTAACACACCAAGAGTCAACGGCGTCACCAATCATGCGATGTTCTGGTCAGTCAACCCATGTCAACTGACCTTCGTGTCGGAGCGCGCCGTCGAACTTAGGGAGTGAAGTATGTGTATTTTTTATGTCCGCCCATAGATGGCTCTAGCTAAGGCGCCGTAAAGTAGGCTGTACCGCATATCTCGCGACTTAGGCCATCTGCACAAGCCAGAGCGCCTCAAGCCCTAGGTCTGAAATATAACAGTACATTTCATTGTTCATAGATGGCAGCACCCATTGTGATGTTTACATACTGACTGACCTTGAAGGGGCGGTACCCCGATTGGTTCCAAAACAGTGGTAGAGCTGAAATATTTGTGATAATTGAACAGTACATTTTGTAAATATTGATTACAAATAACCCATAAAAAGACTTCTTAATCTATAATTATTGTTTAAAAGTAACTTTTTACTGTAAACTGACAAGAATATTGAATGAAACTCTTACAAAGCAGCAATCGCCGGACCTATTGATCGCAATAATACTTACGCTCCATGCCGTACGGGCTGCGCCGGAACCGTCGCGACGCGTCGAGATCAGAGAGCGGGCGTGGGTCGAGGTGGGCGGAAGCGGATTTGAGGATCTCATACACGAAGTACGACAGAGGTATTTGGCTTGGGACTTGTTGCCCTGCCAAAGAAGATTTAACATTTTGAAGCCCTTAGGCCCATCTGCGGGGCTTGGTATTCTTTTGCGTCCCCGTGTTTCTGGTACTTGCATTTTGCCTCCAGATCGTATCGCCTCTGTACAGTCCCCGTTTGGTGCGACCCCATAGGAGGGTTTATTTTCGGCTGGTTTCAATACCAGTCAAAATTGATACCATTCTGATCAAGTGGAGAGGAAGCTGTTGTTGTAAGGTGAGTTATTGCTTGATGACTTGGCTACCTGTCTGTGTTATTGATGTTTTTGTGTATCTCTGGTGTGACTGCACTGGCACCCATTTCAATGGTGGCTGCCATATAAATGGTAATTTAGAAATAATCAGTGTTGATATGCACTAATTTTTAATTGGTTGCATGGTCTACTCCATTTTACCTACCTGAATGCCAAGGATGTGCAATTGGGTACATTCAAATGGAAATGATAAATGTTGACCCAAGTATTGACAGATTTGCACTGCCATCACTGCATCTCCTGAGGGCTGTTCGGCTGCGCAGCCAAAATGAAATATGCTGCAGCACGCATGCGCAGTGAGGACTGCGTCGCCCGTTAGTCCCGCCCACACCACTGCGTCACCGCCTGTGTGACGTCACCTACTGAAGCATGCTTCGTTTTCCTGCAGCACGAAATTCGGTGCTGCAGGAGGCGAAAGTGGCGCGGATTAAAGTTTGCCATCCAATATTTCTTATTGCAAGCGGTTTGTATGCTGGTTTTTGGGTATCATTATCACTCTTTTCGGTGGCACATTGCTATTAACCACATTTGAACGCAATTTAACTGTTATTCGAGCGAAAATCACCAGTCCACCCGCGCAACGGTTCGCCGCGTTTGAAATAGGCTGCAGCGACGCTCGGCCGCGGCGTGCCGGCGGAGAGTGGGCGGAGCCAGGCGGTTGACGTCACCCAAGTATGACGCACGCAGCACAGATCTATGCTGCAGGGACCCGAACAGCCCTCTGTTCTTTCCAGCCCTGCAGGCGCATACTGTGCCGCCATGCCCGAGTCCCAGGACGCATCCTGCGATGGTCCGACCGGTCACTTGGAGCTCAGCCAGGAGCTGGACCAGATCGACCTGTGCCCCATCACACTGGATGACATCAAGGCTGACCCACATAGACCGCAGATCGATGAAAGGTATGTCGGGATGAAATCACTGGGATCTGGCCCTTACAGACCCCAGGGAAATGGAAGGCAGCTGTGTCAGTTATCTTTTGACTTGGGATGCTCTGTTCATCTGTTGAGTTTTTACCTACTATGACTGCTGTGATGCTTTCCCAATGAATATCACTCTTCAAGTGTTATTGCTGGGCAGGGTGATCAATTGCTAGGCAGTAAAAGGGTAAATGATTATTTACAGGCAGTAGGTATGTGCTCAAACCACTGTTGATTCCATGTTGACCTTGCACAATATGCCTATCCCCGCTGTTTCCTGCCAGTTTCCTGCCCTGCAGGCTAGTGTCTGTCTCTGTGCCGCCCTGCCGTTCAGTGCCATTGTCGCCCTTATGTCTCGCGTCTGCCCTCACGTGTCCCCCTGTCTCCCCCAGTGAAATCATCGAGTGGAAGCAGCGCGACCACTTCGCCACGGGGAAGCGCAAGCGGCCGGTGCCCATCGTGATAAAGACGCCGTCGACCCGGCAGCTCTGGAACCGCGCCATCTCCAAGGTGAGTCCCCCCGCCGGCGGTGCGGTGGGAACAGCGCTTTGAGCCGCGATACAGCCGGGGTCTTCGGACACACGACAGCTCCAATAAGGCATCTCTGTGCAGTGGGCTGGTCAGAAGGAATGTTTCAGGTGAATGAAGTTTGCAACCCTATTTGAGGTGCTGCTCTGTTCATGGGTATTAATGTTTTCTAGTGTGTTGTTTTTAGCACATTTGGTCACAAATTTATCCGAGATAAGTTTAAGACGACACCATGATTTCTCCGTCTTTGTTTTCCTCCCATTGGGGACCGGTCTTTTCGGCCACTTTAAAGTGGCCGAAAAGTGGGCGCTGCACCGTCTCAATTGAGACGGTGCGGCGCCCCATGGAGGACGGAATAGGTGAAGTGAAGGTTCTCCCCAGTGGTAGCTTCAGTCCCGGATTTGGCAGCTCTCGCAGTGTAGGCCGTCCGTGCTCCGGAGGTCGCCACTCGCATTGACGACCGTCTGTGCCCAGGTCGCCTATTCTTGCTGTCGCTGGGTGTGCTTGAGGTATTTTCATAACGTTATATCGACACCTTTTTTTAACCCCACATTTGTTCTCCCGTGAAGTTCAGACAAGTTGTTTAGAAACCTTCAAAAAAGGTACAGTCACTCGATTTTTCTCAAGTTTGTCTGTCTTGGCAGATCAAGCAATGCCAGAGCAAGCTTACGAACACACAAATTTGATCAGGATCGGACGATTGGACACTTCTAAAAAGAGATCTTTCGTGCTTCCCGGAAATTCACCGGAGAACAGATGTGGGGTTTAAAAAAAGGTGTCGATATATTAGGACGACTGCGTGACTGCTTAAGGTCAAACATTGTGCGTTCGGGGTCAGCAATGAGTCTGACACGCCTTGTGTGATCCAAGCCTGCCCAAACTGAGTGCCGGCTTAGTATCACTAAATGCACCAGACGGTGTTATACTCTGTCACCCTTTCCTCCGGAACCCCCGGTGCTAGCCGGCTGGTAACGGTCGGCCCGGACTGCGCACTAACGCCGGGCTGGGCGTCGCCGGGCCGGGGGCGTTGGGTTCGACCGTCGCTCAGACCCCGTGCCGCCGCCTGTTGTGGTGCGCGGCTCTTGGGCGCTGTTTCGGCGCTTTGTTGTGATTGTTCTAGAGTGTAGACCGTGCCCGGCCGGTTCGCGTGGTAATTGCGCCGTTGCCGAATTTCCCAGCCTGTCGAACCTCCCTCACCCCGCCCCGCCCCCTGGTGGTGGGCGGTGAAACGCCGGCCGGCCAGCCGGTCCTTGGCCCATCAGCTGACGCGGCGGGAGGGGGAGGGGGAGCGATGTGCGTAGTTGGCGGAGTGGCGTGATGGTTTCGTCAGGGCGGGTCGTCGCACGCGGTCTGGGACATGCGAATGGGTCCGCAGCTGTTCCGACGGCCGACGGTCGTCGAACGCGTCGGCTGCCGATGCTCAGCGCCGGACGTGACAGCGATTTATGGAGGCCGAATGTGGTCCGCTCGGACCCCCGGCCCGGCTGTCGGTCGGGCGGTCGGTCAGTCGGAATGGCTGATTTCGTCAGACAGCCGCCACCAGTGGTGTATCCGCTCGATCAGCGTGATTTGGGGTGATTGATTTGTCCAGCTATGTCCAGCTAGCTGCTAACTTAGTTGACACTGAGACGTCTCCCGATTAACTTTTCAGGCCCTGCAGGCCTTCTAAGGCCGCCTTTCCATCCTGTCTGGTTACAAGCTTGTCTCCCATCTTGCGACCTTTGATCTCCACTTCACAGCCCTCTGTTCCGCACAGTCCCCGCCTTGTCCCTTGTCCCCCTCTGCCCCGTTCCTTTGCTGTCCCCCTGTCGTTTTCCCTTCATCTCCCATTGATCCGTCCTCTGTTCTTCCCGTCCCTCTCCCTCCCATGTTGATCCGCTGTGCCCGTTACTACAATTCGGCTTCTGCCCGCTGACTTTCTCTGTGCCGTCTCTCCACCCACCTGTTCATGCCTGTTACGGGTGACCTGTACCGTACCCTCTGCCCCTGCGCGTGTGTGACGGCTCAGCCCCGGTCTAATGGACACGCACGTCTATGACAAATAGACGCAGTCTATGTTACCGTACGCTCTGCCCCTGTGTTGTGGCGCCGCCAGTCCCGGTCGGTGATAGCGGACGGGCCGGCCATTGCAGACAGTGACGTCACGCGGCGCCGCAGCCAGTGACGTCACGCAGCGCCGCATTCTGCGCCGCGGCCATGAGTGTGCGACCCCCCCCCCCCCCCCGGCTCCGGTGGAGGGTGCGTTATTTGGGACAGGGCCGTCCGCGCACCGTCGCGCCGCGTGATTGCAAACGAGGCTACTGCGTTTGATGCTCGGAAGTGAGTGGCGACGGTGCCGAGAGTGGCGATTGCACAGCTGGGGAGGTCTGTCCTAGTATCTGACCTGATCTTATCTGACTGAACTAAATTTAACCTGCGGTTATCAAAGCTGTCTCCCACCGCCGTCTGATGCGACTGTGTCAGAGTTCACTGACCGGCGGATGATTCGGCGCGCGGTGCCAGGAGGACGTGGTTTGCCGCGCCACTGCATATTGCTGCCCGGGATACTCATTGTGACCTGTCCATTACACTCATTATCAGCGCCGCCCGCCGCCGTTACCGGGTTCCCGGTAACTTTCCACCGGCACCCTTCCACCGCGCCGGCGCCGCCGCGCGGACCGGCCCGCCGTCTGAGGATTCAGCCGGCTCGGGAGCCTTTCCACTCGGCCGGCTCGGGAGCGTTCCCACTTCCCACTCGGCCGGCTCGGGAGCGTTCCCACTCGGCCGGCTCGGAAGCGTTTCCACTGGGCTCCGCTCAGTCCGGGGCGTTCCGCTAAAGCCTTGGACTACATAGATCTGCAGTTAGTGCGCCCGAGCCGTTTAACTAGCTGACCGGGATGACTGTGTGTTCTTCGACAGGCTGCCTAACATGAGCGATTAGGCCTGTTCTACATATACCTACCGATGACCTGTCCTTTCGTCCTCGACCTCCCGAATAGACTTTCCGAACAGCTCTCCTCCCAATCAGCCCAAATGCTGTGACTTTGTCCCTGCTCCGCCTCCATCTCACAGTCAGTTCAGATCGGTTTCTTACCCAGCTTTGCCCTGAAATTCTCTTACACATGCTCCAGCGTGTTTTTGTGACCAGTTTTCTGTCATTTCCGCTCCTCAGTAGGTATGTGTTAGGCACTGGAAATCTACCTCAGTGAATGGGTGACGTATGTCGACCGGCCACCGTATCGACTCTCACATTGCTCAGTCCTCTCCCACCCCACTGTGGGCCGGGAGTGCCACACACTGCTCAGTCCTCTCCTCTCCCACCCCACTGTGGGCCGGGAGTTCCACACACTGCCCAGTCCTCACCTATCCCACTGTGGGCCGGGAGTTCCACACACTGCTCAGTCCTCTCCTATCCCACCCCACTGCGGGCCGGGAGTTCCACACACTGCTCAGTCCTCTCCCACCCTACTGTGGGCCGGGAGTGCCACACACTGCCCAGCCCAGTCCTCTCCTATCCCACCCCACTGCGGGCCGGGAGTTCCACACACTGCTCAGTCCTCTCCCACCCTACTGTGGGCCGGGAGTGCCACACACTGCCCAGCCCAGTCCTCTCCTACCCCACCCCACTGCGGGCCGGGAGTTCCACACACTGCTCAGTCCTCTCCTACCCCACTGTGGGCCGGGAGTGCCACACACTGCACAGTCCTCTCCTATCCCACCCCACTGCGGGCCGGGAGTTCCACACACTGCCCAGTCCTCTCTTATCCGACTGTGGGCCGGGAGTGCCACACACTGCCCAGTCCTCTCCTATCCCACCCCACTGCGGGCCGGGAGTTCCACACACTGCTCAGTCCTCTCCCACCCCACTGTGGGCCGGGAGTTCCACACACTGCCCAGTCCTCTCTTATCCGACTGTGGGCCGGGAGTGCCACACACTGCCCAGTCCTCTCCTATCCCACCCCACTGCGGGCCGGGAGTTCCACACACTGCCCAGTCCTCTCCCACCCCACTGTGGGCCGGGAGTTCCATGCCGGGAGTTCCTCTTTACCCCGCTCCCCTGCCGAGTCGCCTGGTGCCACTACAGGCCGTTGGACGGTTCGGAGCCGGCGGACGTGGAGTCTGCACTCTGCAGGGAGGGACGACTGGGCTCAGGTGAACGCTCGGTGGAAGGCCGCCCGCTGCCCGCCCGCCGCCCGCCCGCCGCAGGCAGGCTGTCTGGCGAGCAGGCAGGTCAGGCTGGCTGGAGTGGAGAGAGAGAGAGCTGGCCGGCGGAGGGAGGGAGGACGGTGGAGAGAGGGCTGACCGGCGGAGAGAGGGAGGACGGTGACTGGCACTCCCTGGCAGGGCTGCGGAGTCGGAGTCGGAGTCGGAGTCGGAGTCGGTCGGAGTCGACAGTTGTGACCGGAGTCGGAGTCGGAGTCGGAGTCGATTTTAGAAACCCGAGCCGGAGTCGGAGTCGGAGTCACCGAAAATCTGTCGACTCCGCAGCCCTGCTAGGTCTGCGGAGTCGGAGTCTGGAGTTGGAGTCGGTCGGAGTCGACAATTCTGCCCGGAGTGGGAGTCGGAGTCGGAGCTGGTTTTTGAAAGCCGGAGTGGGAGTGGGAGTCGGAGTCGCCGAAAATCCATCGACTCCGCAGCCCTGCTCCCTGGGACAGCGGCAGAGCTGCGGCGTATCTGGCCAGTCCCTCTCTCTCCAGGACAGATCCACGAGCCTGGCTGCTCAGTGCTCACTGCTGAGTGCCCGGGCTCTGAATAATGGCTCGCTGAGCTGTCTGTGCCGCTCGTTTTATTGCCAATACAGGTGTTTTTGTTCCTCGCACAGCTGCTGCTCTGAAGAGCGCTGCACATTCCAAAAAATGGACTCTTTCTCTGCTGGCTGGCGATGGTCTGCTGCGGCCGTGACCTTGGTCTCGTGCCGGACTGGGAAAGCGCCATTCAACCGACGCTCTTCCAGCTTCCGCTCCTCAGGGCGGCCATCGCTGGCCACGTGGCAGTGTTTTCCT